TAATAGCCCTAGGTCTGGCCTCATTTACCGCTAATAGCCAAGTCTGGCCTCATTGACCTCTAATAGTAATAGCCCTAGGTCTGGCCTCATTGACCTCTAATAGCCCTAGGTCTGGCCTCATTTACCGCTAATAGCCAAGTCTGGCCTCATTGACCTCTAATAGTAATAGCCCTAGGTCTGGCCTCATTGACCTCTCATAGCCCTAGGTCTGGCCTCATTGACCTCTCATGGCCCTAGGTCTTTCCTCATTTACCCCTAATAGTCAATAGACATAAACTCTCATAGCCCTGGACTCATTGATGTCTGTTACAGTTGTTTTAAAGTCTGGCCTCCTTAACCTCTATTAGCATTGGGTCTTCTAGATCTTGACCTCTACTAGCCCAGGTCTCATTGACCTTTAAATATTACAGTCCTATTTATAAAAAGGGAATTTACTTAGATCATGAGTGATTTTGTAACAACACATATCAGCATCTTTGTCTGAGCAGGCAATCAATTGTTGATCCAGACGAGACAGCAGTTCATAAACAAATATTAAAAAACAAGACATCATGTTGTAGAAATTTACAAATCAAAAGGCATGCATTTCTATAGAAGGATTTAGCTCGCTCTAGGGACATCATAACTCACCTCCCACCACCAGAAACTCATCAGGTGTGTCGACTTGTTAGTTGTTTTGTTACCTGTAGGACAGGTGTGTCTGTCTGGAAACTGACCACATCATTAGAATCACACAAATAATGTAGACTGAATAATGATAGTTATATCCCCCACATTCACGTTAACAAAATCACAGCACCCACGACTTTACCAACCAGACTCACTTCACATATCATTTAGACTTACTTTTTGTATAATATTACATTATTACTTAGAGACCTTGTCACTATCAAACCAGATTTACTATTTGTGAATACATGTACTACTTTCACCTAACCCAACTATGTACATATTTGAGCGTGATTAAATTATCACGGGAATCGTATATCAGTCTACTCTTCATGACGATATGTCTGGTATTATTGTTCTTAATATACTACTTCATGTCTCTGTCATTATTGTAACGATCACAAACTCTCAAAATTCCGTCACACATACATCAGATAAATACTATAATTCACCTCAGGGAAAGCTGTAGCCATTCATCATAAAAATACATGTAGAAGGTATATTTTGTTTTATCCTAAACCACAATTAAGCTGTTTTTGTATAATGAGATTTAGCTCTAAGATTTCTACTTTGATATTGGATCTTGGTTACTAAATCAAACATGACTGTGCTGCTCTGTCGTTAAAATCATCCTTGACTCCTCCAATGACAATCTACATGTGGCTGTCATAGCTGACTTTACAGATGTGAAGTCCTTTAGCATTGTAACAGTTGCCCGCTGACCAGACTAATACACAGGGCCAAACAGAACTGATAGTGACAGTTGCCCGGTAACCAGACTAATACACAGTTCCCAACAGAACTGATAGTGACAGTTGCCCGCTGACCAGACGAATACACAGGGCCAAACAGAACTGATAGTGACAGTTGCCCGCTGACCAGACTAATACACAGTGCCCAACAGAACTTATAGTGACAGATGCCCGCTGACCAGACAAATACACAGGGCCAAACAGAACTGATAGTCGCAGTTGCGCGCTGACCAGACTAATACGGTGCCCATCAGAACTGATAGTGACAGTTACCCACTGACCATACAACTGAGGTGTTCCACAGAATTGATCGTGACAGTTGCCCGCTGCCCAGACAAATGAAGTGTTCCACAGAACTGATAGTGACAGTTGCCCACTGACCATACAAATGAGGTGTTCCACAGAATTGATAGTGACAGTTGCCCGCTGACCAGACAAATGAAGTGTTCCACAGAACTGATAGTGACAGTTGCCCGCTGACCATACAAATAGGGTGTTCCACAGAACTGATAGTGGCAGTTGCCTGCTAACCATACAAATGAGGTGTTCCACAGAACTGATAGTGACAGTTGCCCGCTGACCAGACTAATGAAGTGTTCCACAGAACTGATAGTGACAGTTACCCACTGACCATACAAATGGGATGTTCCACAGAACTTATAGTGACAGTTGCCTGCTGACCATACAAATGGGGTGTTCCACAGAACTGATAGTGACAGTTGCCCGCTGACCAGACTAATGAAGT